CCTTAGGTATTCACCAAGGCAGGGCAACCCACATGGCTCTGTGTGTTGCTGTTTGTGGGGGAGTGGTCCAAGGCAGAACAATAGCACCTGTTCTGTTTTCAGCCTACTTTCAGTCACTTCCCCCGCTACCCACAAGCAAATTGGGCCCGTCTGATGCTGATTCCCAGGTGGGTGGGTTTGTGTACTTTATAGGACCTTGTGGGTCTCTCCAATGAACTCTCCAGTGAGGTTGGGAGTTTCTCCTGCTGCCTCAACCCCCACAAGTTTTTTGAGTCTGAGATTTTGAGGCTTTATTTCCCAGTGCTGGAACTCTGGGTTGCATGGTCTGTCTGATTCCCCAGTTGTTTCTCCTGGTTTATTTGCATGCAAATGTGGGACCATCTACTCTGACGGCCAGCTGCCTCACTTGCCCTGTCTGCCAACTGCTGCCTTGCTGAGATTCCTCTCCACCTCTCCTACCGGATGAATGTTTCTTCTTTAACTCCTGTGTCACAGGTGGGCACAGGTAACCAGGTTCTTAGTGATCGGGACAAAGAATTGAACCGAACACCCTAGTACCAGGGAAGAGGGTCCCACAATGCTACCAAATTGACCCCCGTTTCTCCTGGGGTCCCTCTGTACTAGGTTTACCTTTCCCTAAGCCAGAGAATTATAGCTCTCCATGCTAGAGATTGGTGAAAAAGAAGAGTTATTTATTCAAGTTATACAAACTAAAAGTAATGACTTAATGTCTTTGTTAAAATCCCAAAGTCCCTTGAAACACCCACAAACACACACAGTCCTTCCTCCCTCCGTTTGCCCAGTCTGGGGTACCATATCTCAGGAAAAGAAACAGAAGTCCGTGGTTTAGGCAGCTCTCAGTTTTTCCTAGTAATTTGTGCTCAACTGGCAGGCCTTCCTTAGTTCCCAGCACCATTGGTTGTGTTGCTAGGATCTCCAGCTAAAGCCGCGTGGTGATTCTTCTCATGGCTGCGGTGTGTGTGTGTGTGGGGTGATCCCCCTTTCTGGGAGAGCGGCAGCAGCAACAGCAGCACTGAGGGGGCTAGTGTGGAGTTCATTGTGTCCCAGCCAGAGCAGGTGGCTGCAATGTTAGCTGAGCCCTGGAGCGGAGAGTGGTGAGAGCGCGGGCGCAGCTTGCGGAGGCCTGGCGGTGGCTGCGGCGGCTGGGCAGTGACCCGGTGCTCCCGAGTCACTTACTGGTGGCCCCTTCTCGCGGCCGCGGCTGCAGAGCCGGCTGGGGAGTCGCAGGCGGCTGCATCGAGGACGGTGTCTGCACGGCTGTGGGAGTCCCCACTCTGCTAAAGCCACATGGTTCTTTCTCCTCAGTGGCTGCTGTCCTCCCTGCACTGCCACAGCTGCATGGTTCTCCTCTCAATGGCCGCCAAGTCTGGGTTTTAAATCCCCGCGGCCAATCTTCCTCTGCAGCCCCATTTCCGACTCCTCCCACACTCGGCTTCACATGCCAGAACTCGTATCCTTCCAGCTTCACTGGGCTGCCATCATGAGTCTGGGCAGGCGTGGCCCCATGTCCTGGAGCCAGTCTTCTCTGAGCTCCCACGCAGGTGCTGTAACTCAGGGGACCTGCCCCCCAGTTACATCTGGGTGGGGAAGTTACTTCCATTCCCCTGGCTCAGAGATGGTCACAGCTATTTAACATATCCATGCAACCAGTTAAAGGTTATAGATATGCTAAATGACCACATCAGAGGGTAGTTGCAAGGCTGTTGCTATGCGAAACAGCTCTCAATGGCCCTGCTCCCTTTGTCCCTTCCCCTGGGGTGGAGGGTGAGGACATCCTATATATTTTTCTAATATTTCCTGGACACCTTGAGTTCTGAACCCCATTCCAAATCTCTATTTGGGGACCCTTTGGCTGCACCCTCCTACACTTGGTTGTCAGACTTCCATGCAGTTCTGGTTATTTTTTTTTTTTTTTTAATTATTCCATTTATGTGACATTCTTTTTTTTTTTTTAAATATTTTATTTATTTATTTTTTAGAGAGGGAAGGGAGGGAGAGAGAGAGGGAGAGAGAGAGGGAGAGAGAGAGGAAGAGAGAGAGGGAGAGAAACATCAATGTGCGGTTGCTGGGGGTTATGGCCTGCAACCCAGGAATGTACCCTGGCTGGGAATCGAACCTGGGACACTTTGGTTCCCAGCCCGCGCTCAATCCACTGAGCTACGCCAGCCAGGGCTTCAGTTCTGGTTATTTTTTGTTTTTAAATTTGTTATCCTTCTTTTGGTTGTGCAAGGAAACAAAGCGTACCAACCTATGCCTCCATCTTGGCTAGAAGTCCTCTTTTCTTTTTTTTAAACGTAGCATCTCTTTCTTGTTTTATGGATGTAGTAACTTCTCATGTGTCTCTGAAGATAGTGGAGTTTTTATGTTAAATTTCTGTTTCCTATATTGTGTTTTTTTGAGAGCCCATTTTTTCTGATGTTGTTTGCTTGGTCTTTTTCATGTTGCAAGTTTTTGGGTGGGTAATGAGTGAGAATAGTTTGAATTACACATACTCTTAAAAAACTGATATTTCTTTTTTATTTTTCTTTTTTAAAATTTTATTTATTTTCAGACAGATGGGGAGGGAGAAAGAGAGGGAGAGAAACATCCATTGGTTGTCTCTTGCACACCCCCGCACTGGGGACCTGGCCCACAACCCAGGCTTGTGCCCTGATCAGGAATCTAACTGGCAACCTTTCAGTTTGTGGTATGATACACAACCCACTGAGCCCCACCAGTCAGGGCAAAAAACTGATTTTTCTAATAAATTTTCTTAATTTTTTTCTGTGTTAAGTAGAATCATTTAAATTTGTTTTTTGATCTTAGTATTTAGCATTTTGAAATACATTCTTAGGAAGGCCTTGATCATAAGTGGTGATGTTTTTCTCTGAGAAGCAGTTTTAAAGGCAATGACAAAAACCTTTCACCTTTGCTGCCACTATTATTTTGTATATGTGAGAAAAATTCCTATTTCGGTCAAAGTAACATGCATATATGTGTTTAAGTAATATAATTCCACATGTGTATGTATACATACACATAGCGATGATTTCATATGCACACACACACACACAGAAACAAATCAAAACAGCCAGTGTTTTCTGCCACATTGCTATTTGTTGTTTAGCAATAGACCTGTTACACTTTCAGACTTTTTAATTTTTCCCCTCACATTGTCTGTTGACTTACTGTGAAAAATGATGATTTGTTTCACTTACACCACAATTTTTACACACGTGTCCCACATCCCACACTTTCCCTTCCCACATTCTTAATTAGGTACAGCCCAAGCTTTACCAGAATTGTAAAATTTCTTGCAATATAAAGATTTCTAATGGCTTCACATATATGTTTTTTCTTCATGAAATATTTCCTGGGGCCCTTCATCTTCTTACTTCTTTGTGGACCGCTTTATTCTTTCTTAGCCTGCCTTTTGCCATTTTCCTTTGAATTTCTTTTATCTTTTGTCCCTACTGTGCTGCATCCTGTCTTTCTCTTTCTCTGTTTATCCTTTCATTTGGGTGAAGTGCAGCTTATATTGGGTTGGCCAAAAACTCTGCATGGTTTTTTCCATAAAACAAAAAACACATTTTTTCATTTTTATCAATAACTTCATCGATTTGGATATTTTGAGTATGTCGGCTATCTCCTGTGTGGTATAATGTTGATTGTTCTCAGTTAATGTCTCGATTTGATTGCTGCCAACTTTTCTACCTAACTGTGGAGCATCAACCAGCAGGAAATCTCCAGCACCAAACTTCACAAACCACTTTTGACATATTTGATCAGTCACAGCACCTCCTCCATACAGTGCACAAATCTTTTTGTGTGTGTGTGTGTTTCAGTTGCACTTTTACCTTTCTTGAAATAATGAAGCATACTATGCTGAAAATGCTGTGTATTTTCTTCCATCTTCAGTATTAAAATGGCTACACAAAAATTCACCAATTTTTTTCCAATGGATGCTGATATGACAGCTGTCACATAATACGATCTAACAAAATTGTTTTGAATGAAATTAAAGACAACAAAGTGCTACTAGAGCCATCTTACAGAAAGAAACAAACAAACTTTTTGGCCAGCCCAATAATAACTTCCTGAGAAAAGGTATATTAGAGGTAGTTTTTGAGTCTGAAAAGTCGATTTTTTATGTTTGATTGATGGCTTAATTGGATTTAGAATTGTTACTTGAAAGTAATTTAATTTTCCTTAGAACTTTTAACATATTGCTCCACTGTCTTCTAGCTTCCTTCAATATTGAGAAGTTAGAGCCGTTCTGATTCATGGTTCTTTGTGATTTGTTTCACTCTGCAAGCTTTTAGGATCTTATTTCACTAATCTTAGGTGTTAAGAAATTTTGTGATGATACACCTAGCTGTGGTCTTTTTTTTTATTCCTTGTGCCGCATACTCATTGGGCTCTTTTAATCTGGAAACTCCTATCTTCAGTTTTGAGAAACTTTCTTGTATTGTTTCTCTAATTATTTCCTCTCCACTTTATCTGCCACTGTCCTCCCTCCAACTACTGGATATTGGACCTTTAAGATAGCCTCTGTAGTCATATTGTCTTTTCTGCTCAAGTGTTTATTTTATTTTTTTTTTGTTCTTTCTAAATTTCCTTAACACTTTCAATGAACTGAAAGTTTTCTCACTGAGTTCTTTCTTGTTTAATAAAGGGATAACTTTGAGTCATAATGTAATTAATGGCCAGTAGGAAATAATTTGCTGTTAGGTTGCACTACTTGACTTTTGATGTCAGACCGCTTGTTATTTAATTGGGGAGCCATATAGATATCTTGTGATGATCCCACATTCAAACTCTTTCTCTCAATATCTAATAAAGCAAAGATTATGCGCTCTTTGGTAAAATATCATGAAATGAATAGAGTAGGTGCAATTTGAAGGAAATTATATATGCAGAGAATTCAACACCTAGTTTTGTGAGGTGCTTTTGCTATGGATTGTGTAAAGTAATGGAATGTTTTTGTTGTAATTTCATAGGATGATTTTTCAGGATTGTCACCATATGAGAGGAAGAGACTGAAGAACATATCAGAAAATGCGAACTTTTTTGCTTCGCTTCAGTTGTCTGAGGTTTGTGTGGGGTTTCTAATTAAAACAAAGATGCCATTCCTCTTGCCAGTAGATCAGTAAAATACTCATAGTATCAGGTTTCATAGTGTCAGATGAGGGAGGGTGAAATTAGGAGCAAGTTTTACAGTTAATAGAGATTACTATATTTTATTGATTCCAAGCCTTTTTTCATTTTAACATTTTTGAAATCATCTTAAAACTATAGCTGGCAACTACCCCACCCCCCACCCTTTGTGGTACATAAAATAAAGATGTCTTTAGAAAGGTTGTCTGAGATTCAAAGAAACAGGGTATAGACTAAGTGGTTTCTTTAACTAAAGGATAAAGAAGTAGGAGGGATGGGTTGAAGGATGCATGGTAGATGAAGCAGAAGACAAGCTTTAAAAATGTTTTTTATTAAATCTTAAACTCTAAGAATAGTGGGAATATATCTTGTATAGGGAATGTTAAGGATAAATGGCCAATTGTAAGCTAATGTTTTATGATTATTGTATTAAATGTGTACTTTACATAGGTGTGTTTACACTGGGGGAAAACTTCTGTATGTGAGAGAATGGCTATTTAGGAGGTGTATCATATTTCCCCCCAAAAGATATCAAACCCTTGGCTTTGTTAAATAATTAATTGAATTCTCCAAATACCAGATTTCCAAATATTCAATGTGTGTTTGCATCTTGAGGGGAGGGAGGGTGAGTTAATATAACTTTATATAACTAAATTATATACATGTCATTAATGAAAATTCATCAGAAATTTAGATAAACTATTTCTAATTTTGATTTTAATTAACAGAAATTATGATTTGATTTATTATACAAGTATAACCTAAACTTTTCTAGAAAATATCAAACTTTATTGTCTTAGTAGAAGTTAAATCTTTTAATTTGTAACGGTATATTTGATTAAATGTTTAATGTTTAATCATGTAAACTCACTAGCAACCTGGTTTAAGGCATCAGACATCAGGGCTTTAGATAGTACTATATACTTGCTTTTATTTATTTTGATTTTATTTTATTCTTTTAAAAATTTTATTTATTTATTTTTAGACAGAGGGGAGGGAGAGAGAAAGAGGAGAGAAACATCACTGTCTGGTTGCCTCTCGCATGCCCCCTACTGGGGGCCCAGCTGCAACCCAGGCTTATGCCCTGACTAGGAATCGAACCAGCAATCCTTTGGTTCATAGGCCAGACACTCAATCCACTGAGCCATACCAGCCAGGGCTATATACTTGCTTTTATTACTGAGAGTATATTTGTCTCCTGTCTATTGTCAAGAACGGGTATCATATTTTAAGGATCTTCATTTCCTATATAGATCTTAGTTTATGTGGATGTAGTAGCAGATACTTAATATTTTAAAAGGTAAGCTATGTAGTTGTAAGATAGTATTTTTATGTGTATATGTTTTGTATTTTGCAGTCAGCTGCAAGACTCCGTGAAATGATAACGAAGAGACAGCCTCCTGAATCCAAAAGGTAAAAGATATAATTTACATTGTCATCTCTATGATATATTGCTGAGTTGTTTTATAATTTGAAAAAATGGTTCAGCATAGTACAATAAGTAACAGATCAGAAGCTCTGTAATTTAATTTTAATACATATAGTATTTCTGTGGAAATGCTACTTTTTAATAAAGTTCTCATCTTCATCAAAGAAATATAGAGGAAATAGCCCTGGCTGGTGTAGCTCAGTGGTTGAATGCCGGCCTGCGAAACAGGAGGTCGCTGGTTCAATTCCTGGTCAGAGCACATGCCTGGGTTGCAGGCCAGTCCCCACCTGGGGCAGTGTGATCAATGTTTCTCTCACACACTGATGTTTCTCTCCTTCTCCTTCCCTTTCCTTCCTCTCCCTAATAATACATAAATAAAACTGGAAAAAAATATAGAGGAAATAGAATCTTATGAGCTGAATTTTATTTTTATTTAATACTATTGCTGCTAATGGAATCTTTATTTAATACTATTGCTGCTAATGGAATCTTTATTTTCTCTAAATTACACTTATTTTTGCCTAGAAAACTATTATTCTTAAAGATTCTACTACTTTCTTTTAATATTTCTGGTTATCTTTTTGCTTTTCCATATTTTTCTTTTCCATTCCTAGAATAAAGGAAGGAAACTTATATTTATTGAACATCTATAAAATACAATACAATGACCTAAAATTTTTGTCCTGTCTAATCTTATTTAATTCTGATAATGACCAAATGTGGGAGGTAATATATCCGTTTTGTAGGCTCAAAGAAGCAATTTGCTAAAGGTCAAAAAAGCTCAAAAGTGGAAGCTTCAAGATTTGAACTTCAGGATTTGTTAGCTTAAGTTCTATTACTGCATTTTAGCAATACTTATGTATAAATAAAGAAACTAAAAATCTTGGCATCATTAGATCGTTTGTTTAGTGTTAATGCTAATGAAATATAGCATCACTTTAATTGGTTTGATTTTTAATACAGGTCATTTAGCTTCAGAAAAGCTAAACTTAATCATGGCCATATATTTGTGAGTGTGAAATGTTGTAAGAGGAACATCATTAACCCTGCAAAACAATAGTACTGGTTATGTTGCCAGCTGATTCATAATTTTACATTTGCATATTTTTATTAGTAAAGATTGGTGATATGTTCCCAGATTTATCTTTAGGCAATTTTGTCATTGTTGTTTGAACATCATTGAGTACACTTTCACAAACCACCAATCTTATACCACCTAGGTGGTATAGCCTACTATTAGAATTGTATGTGCTACACTTTTATACCTCTGGCAGCATAGCAGGTTTGTTTACAAGCTCCATCACAAACCTGTAATTTGTAGCGTAAACCCTGACTCTAGGCTTTTCTTTTTTTAATGCAAATGCCTGCCCTACACTTTGATTGCCTTGGCATCCACTCCAAATAGGCATTCATTTCAAAGAGGCTTCTGGCTTCAAGGAAGGCTATCTGGAATAGATATATCATTGTCCATTAGATAAAGAGCCAGGCCACCTCTCCACACTGAAGTGGTTTCAGAGATCTTGGTTGACTGAGATAACTAACCATTTGGGATACTTGTTTTTTTTCTTTTTCCCCTCTTCTGGTGCTTTAAATTCCCACTCTTTTGTTTTAAATTCACCAATAAAGAGTAAGCTCATAAAACCCTTAGCTGAAACAGCAGAGCCCTAGGCTTTTGTTCTCTCTACCCTTGACCTGGCTATGTGCCCTGGGCAGGCCTTGAAGGCTCCAGGGCCTATAAGTAATAAACTCCTTTTTTCTCCAGGGTTTCCTAATGGTTATTGCTGAAGAGCATTTTGCAATCATAGTGTTGACGGGAGAGACCTGGTTCTTCTTGCTGACGCATGTAAAGAATTACATATCAGCAAATCTAGTAGTATGTAATCAGTTTATTAGTGGTCCATTCCCATGAAAGAGGACAGGACTGGGTAGAGTAGGGGGTGAAAGGCAGAGTTTCAGGGCAAAGCAGGGTGAGGAAAGCGAGAGTGGCTGAAGACCGGGGTGGCAAGCCCCTGGGCAGCCTGAGGCCAGGTGGCCAGAGGCCCCTGTGGCGGGAGAGCCAAGAGCACCCTGAGCCCCTGAGAGAGAGAGAGCGAGTCCTTTGTTCTCAGGGCTTATATAGTTGGTAGGATAGGTAGGAAAAAAGTCATATATTGATTAACAGGTAAATGTGGTGCCAGCTTTCCTGGGGAAATGTGATTACCCAAATTTAGGGATGAATGGGGGGTCTGTCAGCCCCAAATCCTTATCTTGCTCCAGACTCTCCTTAGTCATCCTGTTGTAAAACAAATATGTGACAGGAGGAAGTTAACTACAATTGGGGCACTTTTCTTCTTTCTTGCTAACGTAGTGTTTCTTGTGATGTTGGAACACTTGTCAATATTATCAGATCAGGCTTAGGACTGCCGAGTTAACATATGAGACTTGTCTCCTTCCTTCTTTCTGCCTCTGTTTACTATTTGTTCTACTTAATTGGTAAAAGGTGTTTCCTGGCAACCAGGGTGCTAAATGCTGGCCAGTGACAGTATTGCAATCTCAGAGTTTTTTCTATGCTGTCTTCTGCTTCAATAGCATGAGTAGGCCCAGTTATAAGTTGGTTTAGAAAGGGGAGATGTCTGGGAAGCTCACTGGGGTCCATATGAGTGCCCCAGGCATTTCTAGTTGATAGCAATCAATGGACTGGGACAGGCACAAAGCAGTAATGCCTGGTGCTTTAATTTTATGACTGCTATGATGTCACTATGCTAGGTGATAGGAGTTTTTCAGCTCCATGAAAATCTTATGGGACCACCAGGTAAGTATTAGTATCAGGTTGGCAGAATGGAAGTTGTATAACGTAAAGGAAAGAGCATCACTTTTGAAATTTGGCAAACTTGATTTCAAGTTTTTTTTTTAATATAAAAAATTTTTTTATTTGTTGATTTTAGAGAGGAAGAGAGAGTGAGAGAAAGAGAGAGAAATATCCATTTGTTGTTCCACCCTTTAATGCATTCTTTGGTTGATTTTATGTATGCCTTACAGGGCATAGAATCTGAAACCTTGGTTTATCAGAGACAATTTTAAGTTTTGATTTATCAGCTTATAGCTATGATACACATATTTATATCTTTGTTTTAAAATTCACTTATGTAGTGCTGGCCGGTGTGGCTTAGTTGGTTGGAACATTGTCCTGTAAACTGAAAGTTTGCAGGTTTGATTCTCAAGAGCCTAGGTTGCCAGGTTGGTGCCCAATTATTTACTGATCAATGTTTCTCTCTCACATCAATGTTTCTCTCCCTCTTTCCCTCCCTTGTCCCCTGTCTAAAATCAATGAATATGGCCTTGGGTGAGGATAAAAAAAAATTCACTCATGTTGATGTGTACAGCTTTATTTCATTAATTTCTGTTACTGTATGAGTGTACTATGGTTTATTCCACTGTTGATGGACAGTTGAGTTGTTTCCAGATTTTCATTATTATGAAGAATGCTGCTCTGAACATTCTTAAGTACTTGGGCATGCTTATGTATGAGAGTTTCTCTAGAAATGGAATTTTCTTGGAAGAATATCATATATTAACCACGGTTCTTTATTTATTTTTTAAAACAATTTTATTTATTTTTAGAGAGAGGGAAGGAAGGGAGAAAGAGAGGGAGAGAAACATCATTGTGTGGTTTGCTTGTGAGTGCCTCCTACTGGGGACCTGTCCCACACCCCAGACATGTACCCCGACTGGGAAGCAAACCAGCGACTCTTTGGTTTGCAGGCCAGTACTCAATCCACTGAGCACACCAGCCAAGGCTTAACCATAGTTTTTAAAACAATTTGAGAACCCAAATTATTCCATATGCTAAGGCTTTTCCTTTTTAAAGTGAGGTATTGATTTAGTGAGGTATTGAATGCTTAGGACAGTTTCTAGCACATAGTATACTTATAATAAGTACTAGTTATTACTAATTATTCTTTTTTAAAAAATTATTGACACTATTACAGATGTCTCCATTTGTCCCCTCTTTGCTCACCTCCACCCACCCTCCATCCCACCCCCCCCCCCCGTCCTTCTAGTGGTCACCACTGTTTTCTTTGTTTATGACTTACTCATGTGTATTCTTTGGCTAATTCTTCACCTTCTTTCATCCAGTCCCTTCTCCCTATTACTAATTATTCTGAACTGATATGGACTGAAGTTGAGGGGTTTTTTTTTTCACCATTTCAGTGTTTATTTTTTAAACATTTTTTATTGTTCAAGTACAGTTTTCTGCCTTTTCCCCCACCCCATCCCTCCCCACCTCCTTTTCCTGTTTCCACCCCACCCTTGTTATTATCCATGTGTCCTTTATAATTGTTCCTGCAAACCCTTCAGATATATATTTTTAAGATTTTATTTATTTACTTTTAGAGGGAGGGGAAGGGACAGAGAAAGAGAGGGAGAGAAACATCACTGTGTGGTTGCCCCTTGCACACTCCCTACTGGGGACCTGGCCTACAACCCAGGCATGTACCCTGACTGGGAGTCAATCCAGGGACCCTTTGCTTCACAGTCCGGTGCTCAATACACTGAGCCACACTAGCCAGGGTATGAAGTTGAGATTTTTGTATGAGAATTTTGGAAGTAATTTCAGAGGCCTTTCTTTTCCCAAAATTTTTTAATGAACTGCTTTCTTTTTAAAGACTTAATAGTTTACAGTAGTTCTGGCCAAGATGGAGGCATAGGTGGAAATGCTTCACTTCCTCGCACAACCAAAAGAAGGATAATAACCAATTTAAAAACAAAAAATAACCAGAACTGCCAGAAAATCGAACTTCAACAATCAAGGAGATAAGCAAACATTCATCCAGACTGGTAGGAGGGGCAGGATGGGCAGCTGGGCGGGGAGGAAGAGCAGCAAGGCAGAGGATTGTGTGGGTGAGGTGGTGGCTCCTGACCAGGCAGTCCCACGTTTGTGTGCAGATAAGCTGGGAGGAACAACAGGGGAGTGAGACAGACCGTGAAATGCAGGGTTTCAGTG